ACTGAGCCCCCCTCGGCAAGAGCCCCCCCCTGCCAGGCGGGACAGGATCCTGGGGGCATATCCAGCAGGAGCGGTAGGGATGGGGCATCAGGGAGCCCAGCGCTGGATCCTGCCTCCGGCGTCATACTGACAGACTGGACGGGGCTCAGGGAAGGGCCACAGGAAGGATACGAGGGCCGGAAAACCCGCCTGGCAGCCCGAGGCCGAAGGAGCTTGGACGTGGAGCGGGAGGGAGGGTGAGAAATGACTCGTTCCGGCTCTAGAAGTAGCTCCACAGGAAGAGATTTCCGAGAGCCGGGGGCTCCTCCCCCAGCCGACAGTGGCAGAGTGAGGGCCCAGGCTGGGGGCTGGCGCCAGACGCGTTCACACGGGGAAAAAGGCGCCAATGTTCAGTGGGGCGGGGACTAGCCAGGGGCCGGCTTGCTGGGGCTGGGCGGAGGCTCCCTCCCTCGCCAGCTCAGGAAGCGCCGCTCGAGCTCAGCCGGGAGCGATGGGGCCGGGGCAGGAATCGCCGGGGAGAGTCTCCGGCCTGGGTCACACAGGAGCTCAGACGGGGTGGGCACCACGGGCCCTGCTGGCCCTGGCGTCTCTGAAACTCCAGTCTCTGCCCAGGACAAACCCCCAGGACAAACCCCCAGCTCTCCCCTCCCCGTGCCCCGACCCAGCTCCCCCCACCCCAGGGACCCCTGGCAGCCCCCGGCTCTGACCCCCGCCCCCTGCCCGGACTCACCCAGCCGCGGGAGGAGCCGTGTTAACGCCGTGACCCGTTCCCTGCTCTGCATCGCTGCTCCCAGCGCCCGGCTTTAAACCACATCGGGCCCCGCCCCGCAGGGGAATCTCAGCTGCATTTCCTGAAAGTTACCCAATGCAGCCCAGCTGGGCGGCCCCTGTTCCTCTCCGGGAACCACCGACTCCGGCAGCAAGCCCAGCACGCCAGGGACTCAGCGCCCGCTTTGACCCCACGCACAAGCGGATCCGCTGGCTGCTAGCGGAAACCAAACCCACCCACCGGGGAACGGGCCAGAAACCGTTCCCAGATGGGGTGAGTGGGAACCGCTGTTGTGTGTCAATGGGGCCAGACTCCCAGCTGGGGCCCGGAGCTGGGAGCTGAGCCAGCCCAGGGGAGAGGACCCGTGGGGTAATAACGGGGCCTACGAATGCCCCGTCGGCGAGCATGCAGTGTGAGATGTGGGAGCTCGGAGAGCGGCCTGGACACCTCGCATGGCTCGGTGCAAAGGGGACAGCGGGGGGCTGAATCCGTGCAGGCAGAGAGAACACAAGGGCCGTGTGGGGATCGGCCTGGTGAACAGGTGACGTGGGGGGCCGGAAATCAGTGACCCCGATGGGGTGTGAGAAATTGGGTCTAATTGGTGCAGAGGTAAGGGGAGGGGGGGAGCTGGGCATCGCTCCATTCCGGGGTCCCCAGACAGAGACTTGGGGGGCGGGGGGAGGTGACAACAGAACTCAAGGGCTGGTGGCGGGAAGACGGGGAAGGAGCGAGCGCTGCCCCCCCGACCCCGCCGTCTCCTGGGACTCTGGGATCCCCTGTCACATCCCTGGGCCTTCGTCGTCCTGATCCTGAGACGTCCCGACCAGCCCAGGCCAGAGCGCAGCCCCACCCCGACAGCAGCGGCTCCTCCACTGGCTCCCAAACAGGGCTGGGGACGGGAGAATTTGTCACACCTCCCCCACATCCTTTTCCTTCCCATCTTCTTTCCCTCTCCTGACCCTCTCCTGGGGCTCCCCAGGGCTTGGGGGGGCTGGACAGACGGGAAGCCGGGCCTGTGTCTCCAGCAGACAGGGTGCAGGCAAGTGACCGGCAGAGCCAGACACTGCGTTTGCTGGCTGGGCTACTCGCCTCTCTCCCTGGCGCGTCCCTCCCCCCTGCTAGGAAAGGGGGTCGGACCCTGTCAGGGGTCCCTCCCCCACCCTGAACTCTGGGGTATAGATGTGGGGACCCACATGAAAGACCCCCTAAGCTTATTTCTACCAGTTTAGGTTAAAACTTCCCCAAGGCACAAATTCCTTCCTTGCCCTTGGACGGTATTGCTGCCACCAACAAGTGATTTACACAAAAATTCAGGGAAGGGTCACTTGGAATCCCTATCCCCCCAAAATATCCCCCCAGCCCATTCACCCCCTTTCCTGGGGGGGCTTGAGAATAATATACCAACCAATTGCCTTAGCAATGTGAGCATGGACCAAACCCCTTGGTTTTTAGGACACTGAAAATCAATCAGGTTCTTAAAAGAAGAATTTTATTTATAAAAAAAAAAGTAGAAGAATCACACCTGCAAAATCAGGCTGGAAAGTAACTTTACAGGTTAAATAAAAAGATTTAAAACACAGAGGATTCCCCTCTGGTTCAGCTTCCCAGTTACAAAACAGGAATGAAATTACCTCTTAGCATAGGGAAAATTCACAAGCTAAAACAAAAGATAATCTAGCGCCTTTCCTTGCCCTTACCTACAATTTTTGTAATCTTAGATGACTCATTTCTGGTATGTTTTCAGGAGATGTTTTACCTGCCTGGTCTCTCTCTCTGTCCAGAGAGGGAACAAACAACTCCCCCACCCCAGATTGGAAAGTATCCTCTTTCCTCATTGGCCTTTCTGGTCAGGTGCCAACCAGGTGATTTTAGCTTCTTAACCCCTTAGGGGTAAGGCGATTCAGTACAGCTGCCAAGGAGGGATTTTATGTTACCCTTATCCCTATGTTTATCACAGACCCCCACAGTTGCAGCCCCACTGTGCCCCCATCTTCGCCAGACCCCAAAAGGCTGGATCTCGCCCTTCCAGTGACCAGCCCCGACCCACGGTCCATCCCCGACCTCTCTCCGGTACCGGGCCCCGGGGATGCTGGGACAGTGGCAGCCTGGCTCAACGCTTGGCATTTGCACGGCTCGGCCGGGCTGCCCTTGTGCTCTGTGTCACGCAGGAGCCGCGGGCGCCCAGCGCTGAGCCGGCCGAGGGCTCTGGATCCCGAACCCGACCGTGTGTCGGGCCGGGGACGTGTCGCACTGACACCTCTCGCTCTTCCAGCACAATTCACACGATAGCCCCGGGGTCCCTGCTGCCCCGCGTGGGGCAGCATCGCTCTGGGGCGCCCTTGCCCGGCTCTTCGGCCTGACGGGCAGCCTGCGGGGGGAGGGGTTGGGAGCTGCCCAGCTGAGGGGGAGCCGCAAACCCGGCACCCGCAGAGCCTGGCGGCAGGGAGGGCGAGGGGCCGGGGCTTGCCCCCAGCTCTGGCTTGTCCCCGAACGCACCCTCCCCTGGTGGGCCCCGGGAGCGACGGATCCGCTGCTTCCCCGCAGCAGGGTGGAGGGTGGGTCCAGCGACCAGAGCCAGGCGCGCCCGGAGCCCGTGCAGTGCCGTGCCGCGAGCAAACCGCCCGAGAAACAAGCGGCCCTGGCTGGCGTGAACCGGCTGTCCCAGCTCCAGGCCGCTGCTCCTGTGTCGCCCCTCAGGGGTCAGGTGAACCGGGATCCGGAAGAAAGGCCTAAACTCGGGGGTTTGCTCCCCAGGTCCTTTCTCTGTCTGGGGGTCTCTGGAGGAGCCGGCGGGGACCAGGAGACGCATGTCTGCCCCGGGGGCTGCCAAGGCTGAGAACTGAGACGTTCATTAGAGAAGGGCCGTACAGTTCCCCAGGGACACAGACACAGTCGCACTTGTAAGGGGTTCACCTCGTTCAGTCCTTCCCCAGGGTTCCTCAGGGTGCCCCAGGCTCTCGCCCGCCCATCCCAGGGCTCCACGCAGCGTCTCACCCCTCCCGGCCCCTCACCAGCTGCATTGCCACCCGGCAGGAGCACGGGTTACTTCACAGGCATCTCTGCAGCCAGCCCAGAGTTTCTGCTCCGCGTGGTGCGAGCTCCCATCCTGCCTGCCACGGACTCACAGATCGTGCCCACTCTTGGCCCCGTGCGGTCCGTGGGGGGTGCCACTTTCAGTGCGACAGCCCTTCTCGGGGGGGCCACTCTCTCCCGGGGTCAGGCCCCTCCACCTCCTGGAGCCGCACCTCTCGGAGCCTGAGCACGTCTGTCTCTGCTGTGGGCCCCCTCAGGGAGTCCACTCGCTCTAGACCCCCAGGGCCTCCACTCCCGAAGGGGTTGATGCCACCCTGTTCTCTAGCCCGGAGCGACTCTCAGCCAGAATGAAACTGGAGGTTTATTGAGAGTTGAACCCAGCACAGGAAACTCTCAGGGCCTCAGGCCTGGCCTCCCTCAGCCCAGCACATCCCAGTCTCTCTGCATCCAGGTGGGCGCTGCCTGCTCCCCCTCTCCAGCCCAGAGCCCCCCTGCTTCCCAGCTGGGCATCTGAGATCCCCGGCCCCAGGCCCCGCCTCTGTCCATTGTCTTCTCTCCAGGTAAACAGGGTCGTAAACCGGGGCCTCCTCTCCTCGTTTCTGTCCTCTGGCTGGAACCGGCTGGTTCGGTCACTGGCTCCTCACTCTGCAGCCCATTGTCCTCCCACTGGCCAGAACCGGCTGAGTCTCCTCAGCTGGGTCTCCGGGTCGGGGTCTCAGGTCACCGGTCGCTGGGGTCTCCATCCTCCCGGCCATCGGCTGGGTCCCCACGTCCTCTCTCCGGTCCTCTGCAGAACATACTCCCTCTCCCCTCACCTCGTTAAACCAGTAACACCCAGGGAAACTGAGTCCCACCCCCTCCGCATGCAAACCATTGGAAACAACAAGAAAATCCCCCACTTCGTCACATCTCTCCCCTCAGAAACCTCCGTTCTTCCCCGCTGCAGTCTGAGCCCGTCACTCCCCGCCGGCTGAGGGGCGGACGAGGGGGGGGGCCATGCAGACCTAGCGCTCAGCCATGTCCACTTCGGGGGGGTCCGTCCGGACACGGTGCCAGTGCTGGGAGCCGGGCGCTCTTCGCCATCCAAGATGAAGCCCTGATGGGATGGGGGGGGGGGGGTCAGCGTTAGCCGGACCGGGGTCCCACTGACCCGCAAACGTTTTCAGCAAACAGATTTTCCCACCCAGCTAACAGATTCCTTTCAACGGAAAGGGGCGGGGTGGGGGCGGAGCAGAGCCGGCCGGTGGTGAGGGACAAACCTGGGCCTGGCTGGGGCTAGAGGCATCAGGCCCGGGGAACAGAGCCCATCACACGCAAGGAGTCACAGCTCGGCCGGGCCGCAGGCGGGGGGGTCTGGTCGCTCTGGGGGGCCCCGGGACGCGGCGAGCGACTGGCCAGGGACTGGGGGCGGCTGGAGACGGTTTCGACCCGTCGGAGCCAGAGGGTCTGGCCCAGCGCCCCACAGGAACAGGGGCCGGGTGGGAACCCGGCTGGGAGGTGGCTCCACAGGGCACGGGGGTCTCACGGACCCGCCCCCCCCCGGCCGTCACTCACCTTCGGCGGGGATACGCGGCAACCCCCAATGGATCAGCACCACGCACACGAGGGTCACGAGCGCCAGCGTCACGACAGCCATCGCCCACCCGGGGAATCGCTGCTCCAGCGCCTGCAGCCCTGCTGTGGGGCAGGGAGAGGGGGTTGATACGGGCTGTGACTGAACCCAGAGCCAGGGGGCCCCCGGCCCAGCCAGGAGCTGGCCGGCCCGCAGCCCCCGGCAGCGCAGACCCCAGCCCCGGCCCCGCGGACATGCCCCTCTCCCTGGATCCTGCCTCCACAGCCCAGACGCCCAGGGAGCATGTGGGGTGTGTTGTAATACCTGGGCTGACAACGCTGCCCTGACCGTGGGCGTGAGAGCTCACGCCGTGCGCCCCCAGCCCGCACCAGCAACAACCAATAGGAGCAGCACGGCAGGGAGACGCAAGGACCGACTTAGCCGTGTCGGGATCAGGAGAGACGTGCCATCCAAACGACATCAAAGCCCTGTGATATGGGGCCGATCACAAGGCGCGTCTGTCCTCATCGCACCCACCGCCGCCAGGTAAAGAAACAGACCTTAAACTCTTTAAAGAGAATGTTCCTTCTGGCCGGGAACCACTTACCAACAGTGGTGACAGTGAAATCCCTACGTCTCTATTGTTTTGCCTTTACGGTTCCCACGTCTCTGTGGTTTATTTGTAGGGTTCTGTCCGTTGCAGAACTAATTTGGTAAGGTGTAAAACAATGAAAGTGGTGGGGTATGATTGTGTAAAGAATTGTTTTACATGATAGTAGGATTGGTTAGTGATATTTTAGCAACTCCAGGACACAGCCCGAGATCAGAGCTGCCAGACCTCAACGCCCTGCCAATCACAGTGTGCAGGAAACTGGACTCCCCCAGAGGACCTGATCCTGACTGGCCAGCAGGAAAAGTTCACCTGCCTTATTGGGAGTGGTGAGCGTTGTCTGCGTAGCGTGTGCCGTCTGGTTTGGGGATTGTTAATAAAGAGACGTTATGTAGGATATTACTGTGTAAGGCTCTTTCACTGGTAAAAGACCCTGTAAACCCACAAAAGATTAAGCCCTGAGCCCACAGGGAAAGGGGGTTTGCCCGAAGCCCACGGGGGAGTAGAGCCTGGAGCCTCAGAGGGGTAAAGTTCAGTGCCTTTCGCCTGGAGCCCGAGGGACTGGGAAAAGGTGAGGTGTTCTAGAGTGTCTGCGACAGAGAGTTTTGTGCGGGTAACACCCGCTGCCCTGTTTATCTGCAGAGCCAGAGCCTCCCTTGCGGACCCTGCCGCCCAAGACCGCGGCTGTGGATGGGCCCAGGTGCCAGCCTGCAAGGAGCATGCGCACCTGATCTGGGTGCAAGCGGTTACCTGCCACGTGGAGGACGATGTCCATGATGCTGTCAGCCTGGCTGTCCATGATGAAGCACCGGTACGTGCCGCTGTCCGAGGGCCGCACACCGGTCAGGCTCAGGGCCACCACCCCCTGGCGGATCCCCTGTAGGAGGAGCCGCGTCCGGCCCCTGAACTCCTCGGCCTGGTCTCCCAGCTGGTCAGCCCCCGTGTGGTAGCTGTGCACCACGGAGCCCCCCGCCGGCTCCCGCAGGAGGTGCCAGTGAATGCGCAGGTGACGTAGGTCGGCTTTTGGGGGCGCTCGGGCCCTGCACACCAGCGTGATGTCCTGGCCGGCCCGGGCCCAGAACTGGGGGCCGTCGCTCGCCTGAGGGGCCGTGTCTGAGAGAAGGGACGCACACGGGAACCCGTGGGAATGAGCCCACCACACTCAGATTGGGCCCAGGACGGCTCCTGACTTCGGAGGGCCTCACTGCAGCCACCAGGGCCTGGTCTGCAGATGGCCCTGCGCTGACCAGGCTCCGGTGGGGCTCTGCCAAGTCAGGGGCCACACTGGAAAATCGGGGCCTTGCCGTGGGCTCTGCCCCTCTCAGTGCCTCTGTTTCCCCTCCTGCCTTTGTCTGTTCAGACTGTGAGCGCCATGGGGGCTGCGTGTCACTCTGCGTCTGGGCAGCGCCCGGCCTGACGGGGCCTGAGCTCGGTCGGGGTCGGTGCAGCGCCCAGTGCGACAGGGCCCTGATCTTCGGGGTCTGGGCAGCGCCCGGCACAAGCGGGACCTGGTCTCGGCTTGGCCCTGGCCCCAGCAGCCCCCTTCCCAGCCGGGCTCTTGGCCTGCAGGTCAGCTGCTGCGCTGCACAGAGCCGGGACCCGGAGCGGCCAGTGGCTCCCGCCCGTTCCCCGCCTGCGCCCGGCGGCCAGGGACCCCGGCCGAACGTGTGTGTGGGGGGAGATGCAGCCGGAGGACAAAGCCCCCCGCAGGTCACATGGGGCGGGGAGGACGCGGCGGCTCCATGCTGGGCACAAGGCAGGGGGTCGCCGGGCAAAGGAGACGTGGGGCGGTCACATGTCCTCCCCTGTAGCTGGAGTCACTCGCAGTGTGGGGAGCCGTGAGTCGTGTCTGGCTGTAAGATAAAGAACAGTGCTCTCGGGCCAGGCCCCCCGCACGCGTCAGGGCAGCTGCAGCCAGCGGATCCCAGGGCCTGTGTGACTCAGTGGGGCCCCCGCACCCCTCCGCTCTCGGCTTCTAACTCACCTGGTCCCACAGTGACCCATCCCAGCAGCACGGGACACCACAGCACCCACAGCATCTTGGCCGGAGGGGAGAACAGCCGGGGCCGATCCTGCCGAACGCGGAGCGCGTCTGGGGGAAGCAGGGTGCCCAGACGTCCCGATTCTAGGGGACTTGTCCCGCATCCCGCTATCCGGGGGGCCGCGGCAAGCCGGCGCCACCGGGGCCACTCACTTGTTCTTTCGGGGCCCCTGGGGCAGCGCTGCACAGCTGAGCTCCCAGCTGGCGTCCGCCGCCGCTGCATCAGCACAAACTGCTCCCGCTCCCGTTTCGCTACTTTGGGTGTACTGAGCATGCTCACTCGACCTGAGCATGCCCAGTAACCTTCGTTGTAGCCACTGCCCT